ATTGTTATTGTGGTCTCTACCTTGCTTCCTCGAATGTGAAACTTGACAAAGAGCGGTAAATGAAACTTTTGACTAATTTGATTAATCATACTTGAGGACAAGCATGAGATAAGTGAGGGGGAATTTGATGATTGTTTAGAATCATCAATATTTGCTCATTATTTCTTCGGTTTTATGGAATTATTGTTGCTGATTTGGTTGTGTTATGTTTGTTTTCGTGCAGGTCCTTACTTTCCAGAATTAGTGACAAAACGGGTGCATTCTGCATTTTTTTATTATTTGGTCACGGCTAGAGACATGGGCATGACTCTAGGCACGATTAGGTGTAACGTGGCAATTTTTAGAAGGTCCAGTCAGCGACGGCTTCTAGAAGACTTACTCTATACGCCTTCTGGAAGATATACGAGCAAAGTTGCATTAGGAGACTAGTTTAAGTTTGAATTTAAATTTGAAAAACAATTATCTTAGGATTATTTTATTTTATTTTCTTGTTTATCCTTAGGCTTTGAGAGGCTATAAATACCCACTTGGGGTAAGCCTAAACTCATCACTCAAATTACATTCTTCTTTTCTCTCTAGTTTTCATAAAAGCTTTCTCTTTTTACTTTTTATTTTTCTTTATTTTAAAGTTTTGTTTTTAAAATGCTAAGTATGACTTTTGTCATGCTTAGCTAAATTTTTCATAAGCCGAGAGCTGACGCGATGACTCAATTCCAACGGGAGAATTGAAACAGACCCTTAATATCTTCGAAATATCTCTCTCAATCTCTGCGCTTATTTTTCAAAATCAAATAGTTTTCAAAATCAAAGATCGACTTTGGTCAAGAGGTTGTTGCGATTAAATGTATGGGAGAAAGATTCGGCTTATAGAAAGCAAATTTGGCTTCCTGGGAACACACTTGGCGAAGATGGCTTCGCCAAGAGGGAATTGAGATCGGAATTGACATTTATTGAAGCAACAATGCAAGTCGGTCGCCACGAACTTAAACGGTAATTGATCTACAATAATTGATGTTGATAGAATCAATTCCCGAAACCGGAATCAAAGGTTGTCTTGGGTATTCGGTATACATAATAGAGTCACAAGGATAGCCCTTGTAGACAAAGTAACCGACGTGAATCCCGAGGAGAAAATCTTATTCGATGATCTAAAGGAAATTGAATCAAAGCGAAGCTTGAGGCTATTTTTACCGTATTTATTCACAAACTTTATTCTCTTATTTTTTATTTAAATTAATTTTATTTATTTTTACAATTTTAATTTTATTTTACCAAACGCCCCCTTTACTATTTTTCGCCTGGTTAAAACCATTCAAACATTAATTTGTGATTTTCTAAGTCCCTGTGGATTCGACCCTTACTTCTCTTTACTACGAATTTCCTTATTTATTAACCGAGAAGAAGGAATTTATTTTGACATCGAAAACGATAGTTGTCAGGCACTTTAGTACAAGGGTTTAATTTATATTTTTAACCCCTAAACTTTTGATAAAATACTAATTATGAACCCTTTCTTTCCTAAATTATAGACTCTAGAAATTATTTAATAATTACTGGACAATCCAGTTTTCCCCAAAATATGGTGCTTTGTTGTTTTGAATTTACATTTGATAATAGTTATTACTTTATTGGTTGCCCCATGAATATATTTGCATATTTTGGGTGTGTCTTTATTTATTTAGCAGAGCCTACTTTGTGTGAAAATGTTTAGTTGTTGTTGTTTCTTAGTATGTCTGCTAGGGAATAAATCAGATAATGCGAAAATGTTTACCCTTTTATTTAGAACAAGTATATACATATATTACCAGCAGCTCAAGAGGTTACAAGTGTGGATGAGTCATTTTCAGCATCAGATGACCCAAATAAGATATTTTTGGAGTTTTCTGGTGAAGTAAGCTCGAAGGTCGGGTGCTTAGTGTTGGTTTCTACCCTTTGATGCATCATGCTCCACTTAATCCAAGGTTTATTGGCATACAACCTACTATGCATCCAACCTTCAGAGGCTCAGCTAGCACATCGATGCCTTTGCACCCACAAGAGAGATGTAACACACCTTTGACACCTTTTGTCCAGCCACTTAACAATCAAGAAGAAATTTATTATCGGATTCCTCCATCACCACAACAATGCAATAAAGGTAATGCGTCTTGAATTTCAGATGATATTTATTTTTAGGTTTCCAATTTTACTTCACGTTTTTTTAACATTATCTGATGTTTCGTTGAATTGTGATGTATCTATACTTTTATTTGCTTATCAATGAAAAACAACAAGGTTAGTGCGCTTTTTATCCTTTAAGATATATAGAGGGAGGTTTTTAGAGACGACTACCTTCTTTATTACAAAAAAAAACTAAAATTAATACCACACTTTAAACATATAATATACAACAAAAATAATTTAAATAATACTTATTGAAATTAAATTTTATTACAATGTATTTTACTAAAATTTTAAATGATTTTTGAATTTTTGAATTTTGCTATTTAGACATCTAATATGGCTTCTATAGTTTGTCAACTTCATCTCTCCAATCTAGTTTAGCTCGCCAACTCCATATCTCCAATCTAGTTTAGATATTTCATTTCAACTACTCGATCCAGCTTGTTCGCCTTCATGTTGCTGCTTGTGGCATTAGAATTCAATATATGGGAGTTACTATATGAATCATATTTTTTTCTGGTTAGTGCACTTGGTAAGGGGTTGGATGATTTTTTAGAAAAAGTACTTTAAATTTTGTGGACTTGCCACAAATTTCTGACATATTCACCTATTCTGTCACAAATTTCTGACATGTTCACTTATTCTGTCACAAATTTGTGATGAATCCACATGTTTCGTCACAAAAAAATTTATTTTTTAGAAAAAAAATATTTTAAATTTGTGACGGAATTTGTGGACCCGTCACAAATTTCTAACATATCCACCTATTCTGTCACAAATTTGTGACATGTCCACATGTTCTGTCGCAATTTTGTGGAGTTTTTCTTACCCGTCGTCACTTCCTTTAACTTTCCTCCATTGCACCATAAAATTTTAAAATTACCTTCTTTTTTACCTAATTTTTTTATTATTCAAACATTTCTACACTCATTTCTTTCTTCTCATTTAATCTCTTCTTATTAACTCATTTTTTCTCCCCAAAAGTTTTTTAATTTCATCCTCTTTTATTATCATTATTATCAATATTGATTTAAGTTTTAGTTTTTATTCAATGTAATTTTTTTAATATATACTTTGTTTATTATATTATTTTTAATTAATCATTAACATTTTCATTATATTTTGTAGGTTGTTTGGAAATTTTTAAATGATAACAATTCTTTAATATGCAAACTTCGCATTTTACTCTTTTTTATTATTATATATTATATTTTTATGTATAGTGTACAATCATATATTTAAATTTATTAGAAACATTAAATTGTGAAATATAAGTTGTAAATCCATATTTAATCTTAGTTAATATTGTGAATTTATTTTTTTATCATATATTATTATTTTCTTATTAAGACATTACCAAGATACAATATCAACTTGTTATTATTATTATTATTATCTGATTTTTTTTAAAGTAATGTAATTATTTCAATTATATTATTATTAATTTTTGGTACATTTATTAACTAAATACAATTTTGGATTCATAATATTTTGGAGAGAATAAAAAATATTTTGGGTAGAATCCCAATAAAATTTCCAATGAAAATTTATTTGGGTAGAATCTCGATAAAATTTTCCTTCTTTTTTTGAAAAATATAAGATTTAAATTTCCAACTAAAATTTTGTAATACAACGGAAATTAAAATTCAGATTTTTTTTTTATATTTTTAAATATTATGACAAAAAAGATATGTTAGTCGAAAAGATAAAATATAGTATTTTATTTATATATAACATCTCGACGGATTTTAATTGTTCTGTCAATAAACTTCTGACGATTTACTTTATCCCCTCAGAAATATTGGTTTCGACCAACATTTTAGTGAACATTCTTCCCTCAAAAATTCCGTTAATAAAATCAAATTTCATCATAAATTCCCTCGGAAATTCCATTGCAATTACACATTTTTTTAGTGAGTTGTGCTTCAAGTTCAGAACAAAACAGTTGTTTGGTCGATCAATACGACATCAACTGTTCAGAATCCAGTATTGCAGCTTCTGGATTCCGGTAATCTTGTCAAAAATGGAAAGGATGATAATCCAGAGAATTACTATTGGCAAAGCTTTGATTATCCATCAGATAAATGCTACCTGGGTTGATCCATCTCCTGGTAGTCTTACTTGTGGTGTAGAACTCGAAGGAAACCATGAGATGATGCTTACAGAAATGAGGTTGAATCCAAATCTGCGATGTCAAGGTTTGTTTTCAAATAAACTGAGAATGTAAGATAAAGGTACACATGGAACCCAGAAACTTAAACTTTTTTTTCATGTCATCAATTTAATAAAGATGACAATGGAATGGTCATTTTATTATAAATCGATAATATTAATAACCGATTTATTATAAATTGATAACTTTGGTGACCGGTTTATTCCTTTTGAAACTTCAACGGAAAAAAACTTACACTAACATCAGTAACCATTTATGTAGTTTATCCAATTATAGAAGTTCAATTTAACTCAAAACCCTAATATTACTATTCAATTTAATTTGAAAATCCAAATAATCAATTCTATTGACTTAAATTTTAAAATATTTTCAAATCTAGTAAACTTTTACTCACCCTAACAGTGATATCATTTGACCTGAGCTGTTCTTTGTTTAACTAGAAGAATACAGAGCACATAAAACTCAAAAACTTTGATTCAAAATAAAAAATGGATTTGGGGACAGGAAATAATATTAAATGAGAGAAATAATCATACCCCAAAAAATAAAAATATAGAATAAGCAAAGACAACCTCCAAAAATCATAATAATTGAAGAATAATGAAACTGGAGAAGAGGGAGTCTCTGATAGACCGGAACACAAGTTGGGTAGCTTAAAGTAATAACTTCAGTTTCTTGATATCTTGTCCTAACTGAATGCAACAGATAAAAACAACAAAACCTAAGCATTGTCTCGTGCAGCATGAAAATTGCCTCAAGTTAACATCAAATTCTTCTATTGCATCCCAAATAAAGATGATCAATCTTTTTTACTCATAATAGCTATCTAAGTTGGTCCAATTAGGCCCTATCGACATTACTTCTTTGAACGTAATCTTCACATCACATCTATACAGTTTAAACAACTCCACTGCTGTATCCGATATCCAGCCATTCCGGCTCATGTACAAAATGGAGAGCTGTTTGCACCCTTCTCTCAGAGCCTGCAACCCTTGATCACACAAGTTCCGGCATCGGTTCACGTGGAGTTTCTCTAAATTATGGCAGTTTGATCCGATGGAAGCCCATCCAAGAACCCTAACCTCATGACACAATGCCAGGTTCCACTCCTGAAGTTGTGGACACCCTTTTGCAATTGCAACAATAGAAGCATCGGTAACACTTCTACACATTCGAAGACTGAGGATTTTAAGCCCCGCCGCAAACCCATTCCCGATTGCTTCCAATCCATTTCTGAAGTTCGAGCAACTTAAACCTGCAATGTTCAAAAACTTAAGCCCGCCTCCACTAACGATGGACATTATTCCCTCGGGTTCAAGGTTACAACACTCAGCATCGATGTAAACCAGTGTTGATGAACAACCTCGTACGCCAACACCACTTACACCCCTGCAACTGGATATCTTAATTGCTTGAAGCTCACAGCACCTTTGAGAAAGAGCACTCAACCCGGAATCGGAAATATATGGGCAATAAGAAAGATTCACATGCCTCAAAGCCAAGCAAGAATTAGCTAAAGCTTCTAACCCGGTATCAGTAATGTTGCATCGGTAAAGACTTATAGTAGTCAAGGAGGGGCAACCTTCACCAACCAGGGAAATCCCATAATTGCTGATTCCAAAACAACAGTCCAGACATAAGGTTTGCAGTCTTGAACCATAGGGTTTCAAGTAGTTTAGGGCAGAATCCGATAGCTCTGTGCAACCAGAGAGGGATAAATACTCTAAATGCTGAAAACGGGTGAGAATCCTGTAAAAATGGAATGAGCTGATGTCGGTACAGCTTAGAGATAACAAGGAAGGGCCAAGAATACCGAAAGAACATGGAAATTGTAATGATCGACGTTGCAGGTTTTGAATATTAAACCAACGGTGGCAAGTTAGGCCAAATGATTCTCGGTCAGTCCTACAGCCCAGAAAGTTGAAAATAAAACAGAGGCAATCATCAGGTAGGAGCATAATTGAAGTAACACCGCCCACCATGTCAACCATGTTAGCACTCCTCTGAAGGCTGTACAGCTCGGATTTTTATGGAAAACTTTTTATAAGTGGCGCCAGATGAGTTGGGAGAGTCAAAACCACAGAGAGCAGGCACATCTCCATACCCGTACCCTATATGAACCCCACATTTACGGCAAAGGAGTTTAGTTTTTGACCGATATCGGACCCAGCTAACAGGAAAACAATGTACCTCGTCAACTTGCGTGAATCGACTCAGATCAACAGATAGAAAGGAGATAAGACCCTTCTTTACAGATTTGTGATACTCAGAGCCTATACTGGAGGTGATTCGATTTGATGAGGTTAAGTTCAATGGGTACCCACAAGATCCACAGCTGCATATATCATAACGAAACACAGCAAATTCAACTACAAAAGCATTGACCTTTGATTCAAATACAAGATCAAAAGATCACAACATATAATGAGATTTAGCTATCTTTATTCAACGATTGATGAATAATCTTTTTCACGAACAAAACTATCAATAGACTCTAATTCACTTCACACGCTGCTAAAAATACACGATTCGGCCCCTAAATAACTGAAAACTTGGGCAAAATTCATAAGAAATGCAATGATTTAATGATTTCACTGAAAACCCAGATGATCCCGTTGACGAAGCATTGCAAGGAAAAGGATTTAAAAGGGGAATATTACCTGTAAGAGACGTCAGCTTGGGACATCCTCTTTGGAAATCAGGGGACTAAAACAAATACCATTTTCAGCGGCGATGGGTTGTCCGATAGCAGAAACGTCGTTAGTCGGAGGTTTTGTGGTCGGAGAAAAGAACGGTTGGGTACGGGGAAGATTACAGAGAGGAGAGTTTCGTTTTTTGCCTTTTATAACAATGGAGGAGAATGCGTTCCCAGTCGTCTTAGTTTAGGATTTTTATTAAGTAATCTGTTTGTTTTACAAATCACATAGAATATAAAAACTGCAGAGTTATAGATGTGAACAATTCAGATTTATCATTATTTTATTATAATTTATCTTTATTTAATTTTAAAGTGAAATAGGATGAAGATAGGACATTTGAGAAAAGAAAAAAAGAAAGTCAAAGGGGTCATGTTTACACGTGGCAAAGCTTACCAACAATGTTTAAAACGGAAGGTGAATCTTAGCCTTTAATTAATAAAATCAGTGCATTTAAATGAGTATCGGTTGCCGTTGATTTCCTCGTGTAAAACCAGTGGCGGAGAGGGTTGACCCAAAAGTAGAATAATATCTCTTTAGTCCCTTAAGAAATCGTAAAATTATAATTTAATCTAATGTTAAAATTGCTTTTCGACCCCCTCAAAAATTAACAATTCAATTTTAACCTCCCCTAAACACAATTTCTGCCCCCATGTAAAAGATTTCATGAATTTTTAGGAATCAGTAATTGTATTAGTTTTGGGTCCTAAAAGAATTTGGGTTAGTGATTAAAAAGGAATTTGTTCTCCCTTAATGACTCAAGTTCAAGTAACATAATCTCTAAGTTATGTATGCGTAAGTTTTGATTTAGATCTTTTCAACCAACAGAAATAAAAATAAATCCGAGACTAATGAAATGGTAATTTCAACAATTTATTTATTGAACTCGTTGTTTTAGAGTCCAACATACGCAGGCAATTATGAGCCAATTAACCTAAAAAACAGTAATAACCAAAGTGATCCTGAATTACAATTGCAGCTGTTGGGAAACCACGAGTCAATTACATAGCATCCGATCAATACAAGCAAATCTAATCACAACTTTTGCCATTACATCTCCCAAACTGCAATTTAATCCATAATTTAAGTGTTCAAGACCAATCCCAACTCGAAACAGGTTCTCAACTCGACTCGACTCAATGGCATTCTATTTTCCATCATATACACTCAAATTCGGAACAACATTAACGATTTCAAAGCAACCAAGCATTAGCAGGCTTTATGCGTCATCGGCGCGCCAATACATACTGTATGCTGTTGAGCAGAGAACAGGCCAGGCCACCATCATCAATGATAAACACAAGAAACAACATACAATTTTTAAACAGAATAACCAGTCAAGCCAGCAAATATTACTTGTTTCTCCTAAGCGCCTATGAACTAAATTAGCCTATTACGATTATACTCTCTACTCTACTGTATGTCTCAAAACGGGAAAGCAGAAGATAGGGAGTCATATAGAATGTAAACACTTGGCAATGCATGTACCCATGTGATGCTCATGTGCTTTGTCATGCTATGATTGCAATCATGTTGTTTGTAATCCAACATCCAAGACCACATATGACGAAAGAAAGAATCAAAGAGTGAATGTTAGATTGTTACCTGCTTTCCTTCCTAAGTCGAGTGGGATAAAGCTAACCATTCTATATTGATCCACCTAATACACAATAACAAATCCAAGCAATTTTTAGGAATTTTTAAAGAGCCCCGTTTGAATTGAAGAAAACTATGCGAGAAGTACAAAGACAATAAGACCATCATATTAAGGAATAACCAAACTACCAAAGGTGAAAATATCCCTTAACTCAGAATAAAAAAAAACTTGGTCCCAAAGACATTCACTCAACTCGAAATTCACCGATTGTAGTATCAAATTATCATAGAATAATCACAAAGACAACCTTATAGGTCTTGAATGGAAAAGTATCTAACCAATTCAATCAAAGATTTATTTAGCTTTTTAAACCGAGAGCCATCCGTTCGTTCAATCCTGAAAGCAGAGGTCGAGGTTTTGGATCCAAGTAGCTATGAACGGCATAGAGAAAAATCGTTAAAATATGAAGAAAAAGAAATGAAAAAAACGAAAGACGAAAAATTCTCACTTTCCAATATCCCTCTTGTTTGTTACAAGGTCCATTTTTGTGTGTATTAAAATGTGGTAACTCAAGCTAGACCATTAAAGAAAGTGATGTCATGCATCCACTAACGAACTTTGTAACATCCGTGATGAACTGAGAAAAATAAAAATGCACATAACCAATGAAGATATACCAATGGAACTTGAAAAGTAAGCCGGTAAGTAGGAAGATGCATAGCTTAGACAAACCTGGGAATCAAGCAAGTATACACAACAAACATTAATGTTCTTGCGCTTCAAGTGCTTCACAAAGTTACAGAGCATGTGTACATGTGAAAAGGGTTCTATCCAGCCTATAAAAATAATTGCAAGTTAGTAAAACTAGTCCTTGGTTGTAGTAAGTACAACAAAATAATACAATACAAAAGAAAGCTTCATGCAGTAATGAATAAATTTCAAGATTTTAGTTATAAAATACCAGAATACATATCCAAAAAAGAATAAATACCTGGACTATCAAACACCAGATAGTCATCATCCAAGCAATTGTCCAATTCTTCAGTCAGCCTGTAATCCAAATTTTCTTCAAGATGCCTAGTTGGAGGTTAAGGTTTACATATGTTGCTCCAAATCTTATTGTTGGAAGTATCCATGTCCGACATCAGTAAGGGATATGACTCTCCAAGGATTATCCAAATACATCATACAAGGGAAGACTACAGAAAAAACTGAACATACCCTGTCAGACGCATACTAGTATCCAACACTTACACCCAAGTAAGAATAAAAAAAAGGTTTACAATATTGTGGCGAAAGTAGGCTTACGATTTGCTCCAAAAATCTAATTGAAGGAACAACATGCAACTATTCATATGCTAAAATAGAAAGCTGAGAACATTGGCAGTGGAATCAAATAGTCAGCAAAAATCTCCACAAATATTCTGTGTATTTAAACACTTCAGTCAGAAGCAACAGCCGAACATGATACAATATTTAAACACTTCGGTCAAGAGCAACAACCCAAAATGATACATCAACATAACAGCATATGGGTAACCATAATAATAGCTGCAAAGGCTTTCAGTTAAAAACAATCAACATAACGGCAAAATGGTAAAAGGTAAATTTCCTTTTATACAACAAGATAAGATAAAAAGGAAAGGATACTCCATGCAGTAGATAAGACCACCGTTTGGACCCAATCCAAGTTCCTCCATGACATCGTCCAAACTAATGAGCTCTCTTATATCTGCAAATAGAAAAATCTCAATGGCAACAAAGTCAGATAACAAAAGATACAATAGCAATGAGATAAGAAGGTTAATCACCCATGGCTACTGGATAGTAAAAATTTTCTGCAGCAGGATCGAGGTTCACAATATGTATTAACCGTCCAAGGGTTTCACAATGCCGGTACAGGTTAGAGCAGTAAGTTGACTAACTCCAAATACACGAATAATCGCTTTAGTATATATTGAATAGAATAGTTTATAGTTGATACACTAACTCACCTTTCCACTGCCTACAGGAGCAATAACGAGTTGTGCATATCCCATGACAGCTTTTCACGCTAGTCAAGCCGTTTCACTAACTCAGAATGAACAGATGGAATTTACGATACGCAAGGATGCAACAATTGCGACAGTAATATATGCGGCACACCACACACTAACAGCGAACAGCAAACTCAAGAAACCAGAGTGGCCCATAAACAGTGGTGAGAGAGATATGCAATACTAAATAACCTGATTCATCAATATCAAAGAGGAAACTGGAATCAAATTTTGATTACATCGTTCGCCTTTAGTATTGATAGGAATGTTGATAAAACAATATAAACATAAACTCAATTGGGGAAATGTGCAGATAACAATGTTGCAGCTGGTATGTAATGTAAACCCTTATCAACAAACTGCTTTTAATGGTTTACAAATGAAAACAGCTTCATCTAGTTTATTGTGCGAAATAAGTTAGAAAAAGAAAAGAAAAGTGTAAAATAAAGTCAGATTTGACAATCCATTAACAAAGGAATACAGAAACAAATTATGATTATCCGAAATAAGAATTTTGATCATCCAAAGAACTGCAACATAACCGAAATAAGAAAAGAATGAAAATAGTTTATCAAAAAGACCCAAATAAAAAAAAGGCGAAAAACGAAATATTTATAAGATCAAAGCCAGCAGATTACCTGAAATCTCCTATTTGACAATGGAGTTGATTCAAAAGGGGAACCTTTCTTTTGTAACGGGGAAGCAAACGGGCTACCAGCTCACTCTTGTAATCGCCAGTTAATTTTTATGTAAAAATAAATAAATAATAGGTTATTGAAATATAAATAAATTTCTTTTTTATACTAAGTTTTAAAAATGACGAAACAATTATTAATATTATAAAAGATAACAAAATGATCGCTTAATTATTAAGCTAATGATGTTATAAATATATTCTTATAAATATTTTTTATAAACATTCTTATAACGTTTTATAATATAGATTAATTTTAATTTTGGTCTTATAAATATATTGTACAATATTTTTGTAATTAATTTTATAAATAAAATATTTTCTAAAATAAATATAATTAATTTCTACCCTAATTTAATTTAAGTATTACTTTTCTAAAAGATATATTAAAATTTTAGCTTATCTTAGTTATTGAACACCAAGTCATATTTAAAGAGGATAAGTTGAATCCCAAGTTTTATTATTATTTTCAAACAATTTTCATAATAGTTTAATTTTTTTTTAATATTTAGATCTAAACTCGCATACACATGTAAGTGCGTTATTCAAAAACTAAGTATTATTTTAATTTTTTTACCATTAAGATGATATCATGTGTCATCATTTTATTGAAAAAAATTAATATATTAAAAATATCACACCATCAGTCACCTCAGACTTTAGTCACGTGAGGAAGCTTAACGATTGAGTGATCGTTTTGTATTTTTTGTAACACTAGTGATTGTTTCATTATTTTTAAAAGTTTAGTGGGAAAAAATAATTTATTAATAATTTAGTGACCTTTGATGGAATTTACCCTAAATAATATTTAGGCTTTTACTGCTTTAGGGCTATGGATTTGGTTCACTCGTTCCATTTGTATAAAAAAA